TTGGGGGACTCCAGGCCTCATTCCACTACCCCAAGTGCCCTCTAGTCTCCAGATGAACAGATCCTGAATCTCCAGGTCCCACATGGCCTGTTCTAAGGCCTGAGATGGAATTGGACACAAGACACATCCAGCCTTGAGATCTTTTGCTAAATCTGACACAGTGCCCCAGCCCTGTGCTCATGTTCACGCCTACGGAAAAGCTTATATCAAAAGAGCTGAACTTCCCACTGGGGATGGGAGACCATTTCCTCCCTTAAACCTTGGCTCTCCCTATTTTGTTCATGCCATTGTCAACAAATGTGCAGGATATGAAATTGCTGAGGCATCGCTGCTTTGCTACTTCCTTTCCAAATCTGTTTCCTCATGTTAAAAAATACTTGGCCTCAAAGATCATTTCTCAACACTTCCTCACCGCAGGAGCCTCCAAAGCCCTCACCAGGCCAGTTCTCCTCCTGCAACAGCTCCCCACAGCATGAAGGTCTCCGTGGCTGGCATTACCTTCTTCTTCCTCATCACCATCGCCCTAGGTGATGGTGAATTCAAGACGGACTTCTCCTCAGGTGAGTGCAATGCCCTGTCTTCCTTCCAATCTAGTCACTGCAGGGAAATAAGCAGGAGTAAGGTTGGGGCTCGTGGGGAGACCAGCAGCGGGGACGCGAAAAGGAAGGCTGGCATCTTCTTGAAATTGTATGTATAGCAACCCTTATATCTACTGAGCACCACAGCACTTCTTTACCCCATGGTGTGGTGAGCAGGATGGAGATGAGACTGCGGACCATAAGTTGTGCTTAAGAGTTTAAGTTGGGATTTCCCAGCCTTGACCAGTGAGACCTGACTTGGGGGACTCTGGGCCTCATTCCACTACCACAAATGCCCTCTAGTCTCCAGATAAACAGATCCTGATTCACCAGGCCTCACTCAAGTGGCCTTGATCTCTTATCACTGTCCCCCAGGACCAGTCCCCCTTTCCCTGAAGGCCATGGAGTGAGGCCAGCCTGCCTCTCTACTCCCTCAACTTCTCTCTCTTTGCCACCAAGCAAAAGAGTGGCCACCCCATTTGGGGGATATTTCCTCAGGGAGATTAGGAGCAGTGTCTTGAGCCTCTCAAGGGCATTTTTCTATTGGCCTCCTGAGGTTTAGGTCCAGCCTGCTTCCAGCGTCACCTGTGCCCAGGGAGCGGCATTGCTTGGGTATGGGCTGGGGGTAACACGACAGTGTGGGGTCCCTCCTAGGACCCCATTTCTCAGCTGATTTCTTACAATAAGCTGCCTTTAAAGACAACTCAAACTATTTATCACTCTTCCATTTTACCTAGTCTCCTTTTCAGAAACTGGGGGGAAACAGAAGGTTGTTAAAATATAGTGGTCTAAAGTTAGCGGGTATGTGCACAGTTTGACTTGCCTCCGCAAGGTCATTTGACAGCTCAGAGGAACAAGGTGGGAGAGTATAGGAGCTCTCGTTGGGTCTCAGGAACCAGGGTTCCCCTTATGCTGTTCTTTGGATAGTGAGGATGCTGCCTGGAATGGAGCTGGAAAACAGGACCAGACTTTTCCCTTTCCACCCAGGCATCGGGCCACCCTCCGTGACCTCAAAGCCATTGTGATGCACACCCACATTTCCATCCAGTATGGCCACATAACAGGCACACACCTGATTTCTCCACTCCATAACCACATGTGCCTGTTTATACAGGGCTCTTGGTCTGCAATGTCCTTCCTGCTACCTCTATAATTCAAGCTTGGGGTGACTGCTGTCACCTCCTTGCTTCTCCTTTAAGAGCCATGAAACTTCTCAGTCAGATAATAGATGTAAAAAAAAATCACCTAATCCACTGATTTTTAAAACTTTTTAGATCACAAACCTTTCTTCAAGCAACATCTTCCACAGAGGCCCAATAGTAAAACAGAAAAAAAAAAAAGAAAAACATTGAGTAGGGTAGGGTATAAGACATCACTCTCAAATGCAGCAGAGCCTCCAAAATAGTCCCCAAGGCCCCCAGACCTCCAGAGAACTCAGTGTGAAAACCACTGATCCAGTCCAAGGGTCTCATTTATAGAGGAGGGAACGGGGGAAAGTTAGTTAAATGGCCACAGTACAAAGGAAGCACAGGCAAGGTTGGGTTAGGATTTGGGTGTCCTGACTCTGTGGCCATTGTCCTCAGGGCTGGGTGTGGGCATCGGGCACACTGTCGGTTCAATGGGGACATGGGCAGGGTGGAGCACTAGGAGAGACTGGGTTTGCATTCCCAAATGGCATGTCTCCAAATCCCTATTGGGATTTCTTCCAAATACTCCTCCCATTTGGAGCACCTTTCCGAATAAGGCACGAAGGCTGCATGATGTTGGCCAAGTCCCTAGCCTTCTCTGCTAGTCGGCCCCCAGAGATGGTGTGAGAACATCTGAGTGTGCTGCTCTTCAACCCTGGAGTTGAAAGACATCTGCCAGTTTTTCCAGGAGGAGGGGTGATTGCTGAGGAGAAGAGGAGCTCGGGACTGCTATGGAGGAGAGGAGAAGATGAGGAAAGCCTACTCTCACTCCAAGTTCTGCGGGGCTGCCTCCTCCTTTCTTCCCTCCTCCATGCCCTCGGCTTGCAGAAGGAGCCAGTGATATGGCCTTTTAGCAGCCAGTGGTTTACCCTCCTCAGCATCCCGATGCTATCTCCTCAGGGGGACCTTCCCAACCCTCGGAGTGCTGTTTCACCTACGCTACTCACAGGATCCCCCGTCCGCGGATTGTGGCTTATTATGGGACCAACAGCCAGTGCTCCAAGCCTGGAATTGTGTAGGTTCACACACACACATCACACTGTGGGGAGAGGGAGCCAGCAGGGACTCCTGGGGGGAGGCAGGGAGTGACCCAGAAACGGGGACACCAGCGTACCTCCCAAGTATGACTACACAGGAAGAGGCAGTTGAGCAGCAAGCTGGGCACTTTCTGGCTGCAGCCTGCAGCAGCCATGGGGAAGCTGACTCCACAGGTGGGGAAGCGACAGGAAGGGAGAAGAAGGCAACAGGGCACTTTCTTGGGGGGGACACAGAGACTAGATGGGTTTAGGGGTCCAAGGGGCAGAAGAGCATGTCTCAGAGAGGAGACTGGCTCTGAGCTGCTTCTATCAAAGAAAGGAGAAGCAGACTAGGTCAGGTGGGGAATTTAGGAGGGAGGGAGGAAGGGCTCTCTCTTCTGGCCACCGGGCCCCTCGCTTTGTGATCCTTCTCCCTCTTGCTCCACAGCTTCATCACCAAAAGGGGCAAATCCATCTGCACCAACCCCAATGACAAGTGGGTCCAGGACTATATCAAGGGCATGGAGGAGAACTGAGTGACCCAGAGTGGGTGGTGAAGGCACAGCTCAGAGAAGGCACAGCTAAAGAGAAGATGCCAAGGCCCCCCCTCCTCCACCCATCCCTAACTCTCAGTCCCAGCAACCCTCTGGGAGCTTCCCTGCCTTGAATTAAAGACCACTCATGCCCTTCCCTGGCCTCATTCCTTTCTACTGGATTTACTCATTGGCCGTGCACTGGGGACACCAGGGAGTCCAGCCTGGGTGTGGCAACCTCAGCTTTAAGCCTCGCTCTGCAGAAGTTTCACTAGAGCCTGACACCAAAAAAAAAAAAAAAAAAAAAAAAAAAAAAAAAAAAAAAAA